CTCAAAGTTGATAAGGTGTTACTCAATCTCGGCTCTGCAGACTCTACAGTGAGAGCTGGAGGTTCGTAGGGGACACCACTGACAGGTGTTGAGAATAGTCCCCCACTACAACCTAATCCAAACAGTATTAAATAAATAAATTGTTCATCATCCTGATTTGGCGCCATGGGGCTCAAGCAGGTTTTATCGGAAGATATGTACTTTAAACAGGATGACTCATTTTGACGTTTAGAACACTAACACTCAGATTTCAGTGCCGGCAAAGACGAATTCTTCACCTTCCAGTGGTGCCGGTGTAATTGCTCAGTATGCTCTGCATATCTGGGATAGCCAAGAAGATTCGCATCCGAATCGAAGTCGAAAGCAAACATATACACATCTCCATTTGACGACTTCTCAACCATGCAGCACTCACCATAATCTTCTGAGTCCTCAACCCCAATCTTACCATATATCATCTCGCCTCGCCGACCGATAAAGGCGTCACCCCAATTGTAAACAGGAGTTTGTATTAAGGAAATGATGACCCCTCAGTCATTGAGGTTGTAGAGCGCATTGATTCAAGTAACTACCGAAGTGAAACTAAGTACAGAATTTGTAGTCACGTGTGTACCAACAACGAGGCCTACTTGATAGCCCCAATTATTCTAAATTCTAACAGCTTGCCTCATTCATTACCGGCCATCACTTACTTCAAATTTACGACGCTACGTATACTCGCAAGGAAGAAATTAAGTCATAATATACAAAGTTGGGGTTTTGGTTTATGGGGGACTGCTGCTCTAGTGGAATTTTACATCTTGAGGAAGGATAGGCGGCTGAAATGTGGAGCGAGAGGGGAAAGAGGTCTTTGAAGACTATGTTGTGACTGACATTTTCGAGGAGTTTTCAACCTTGGATTTTTTGTGGGCACCAAGACCACGATTTCGGCTAATTAGCCAGGAGGGCTTCTTTTGTCGATGAGTCAACGGCTCTCCCCAGCGCCCTGGACGGTACAAAAGGAGTTGGGCTAAGTTACTATATAGCAATCACGCTCTGTCAAGACTCTTCTGAAATTTCAGCACGACCTTCGGGAAGGAGTCTAGAAAGGCAGAGGGTGAATTTGCCGAGGTACCCACAAGTCTGCAGCGCCCAGCTGGCCGGCCTATTCGAACGCTTCGGAAGGATCACTATGTCTTCGGATTTAGTCCTAATGTCGGTATTAGGAGAGCTCCGCACCCAGTGGTTTTTGCGATTTTTCCCGGCTGCCATACACCCGCAAATGGCCATCGTTTCGTTGGCTGGAGAGGGGAGATAATGAAGGGCAAAGGGCTCCTCTTAGTGTATGATCGAATGAGGACTTGTGAGGGGTGGTACTGTTTGAGGGGAGCTGTATGGGAGGCATAGGGGGGATATACTACTGATATAGGTATCCTTGGCCTGTAGGCAGAGAGGACCTGCATGTCCTACATAGTCATAGACTCAGACAGGACAATAAAATGAATTAATAATAATAATAATAATAATAATAAATGGGATAGGTGTTCAAGCTACCCAGAGTCTTCTTGGGAGTACGGCCCGAATGGTTTACTCATGTAGCAACTAAGCCTGTGCGTTTAAGAGCTGAGACCTTCAAGTCCTCTTACGTCTCCAGATTACTTTTTCGTTTGGTCACCCAATCCGCTTCCACCAACACCGGATGACCGTTCTCCACCACGAATGCCTATGCCGGCCCTAGAACCTTCTACGTCGACAATGCTAAGTTCCTAGCCGCATCCGTTCTGTTCCACGCCATGGTCTAGGCCCTGGCACAGCATGTCGCTGCACCGCTAGGATAGATACGAAAAGACTCATTACATTGACACCAACCAGGCCCGATCCTGCGCTACGCAATTTCTGCCATGACGCTTCAGGTACATGAACTTATGCGTGTCTCTTGGTTCACTTATGCCCAGACACTACGGACAGATTCGATGAGACAGTTGTCAGCCTAGTAAGCCGCAAAACTTTGGACAAAACTCCCAGATAGTATTTGTGGCTTAAGTAGGAGGGGAGGATATAATTCAAGGTAGAGGCTTGATCGTCTCAAAGGAACTATACTGGATCCTTTTGGCTAAAAATCCGGGCTGTCGATGAGCCGCTACTGCACGGACTCAAATGTTCTATGCATATTAGGCGAATAACTTGCCATATTTAAATCCACGCAGAGTTTTTCCGTCCGGGGTAGGCCTGACCATGACTTTCATTTGTCGCTCCCCGACCTGCAAATATTGATTCCAAGTCCAAAGCGCATTCTTTGATAGAAACAGGGTAGGGGTAAAATACATGGATGGAGATGTGTGCCCAGAATTACCACAACTTATCGACTAAAAATCTAAACAAAACACTGAAATGAAAATTCGGCAATAAAGCAATGGACCGAGTTGAGACGTTGCTGGAATCTTGAAAGATCAGGTATTTTATTAAGTAGAAGATAAAGGCCAATTTGGACGTCAAGTGGCCGGTAATTTTCCAGAATGCACAATGGCGAATCCAATCTTGAAAGTATTTGAGTGGATTGGAGCGGAATATTCATGAGTCAGCCAGGTAGATCTGCTTATTTTAAGTGTGGGCAAAAGAATTACAGGAATTGAGGCGAAGGTTCTTGGGTTCGATTCCATAAGCTCCGACTACAATCGCGCGACTCTCTATCAATTAGAGTAATAAGCTTATTAGTGGAGCCAAAGTTCTATGCTAATGTCCTCATGGCGGCTAGAAAAAATTAGAAAGGGGTGTCAGTCCCGATGGACAGGTTTAGGTAACAACACCTACCACTGAGGCTGATAACCCAGAAGAGCCTTTTCACTATTTGGTCGCCAGGGAAACGAATCAACATGAAAATTTACGCCTTCATGTTGAAATGTGGGGATAACTCAGAACTACAGTTACTCACAATAATTAAATTTGGTGCTTAAATGTCCAATGGAAGCGCCGACAGTATAATCGTCTTAGTACGTAACCCCTGCAGCAAGGTCGTGAGAGAGGCTTAAGAACTGCACTTTCTGGGGTCTAGAAACTCCGGGCCTCTGTGTAGACACAAGGGGGACTATTCTCAACACCTGTCAGTGGTGTTCCCTACGAACCTCCAGCTCTCACTGTAGAGTCTGCAGAGCCGAGATTGAGTAACAAAGTCCTCACTTCGATGAGGATTCCCACTCGCTTTCGCCGTCTGTATCATCTTCATCCATCAACACATTCCCCCATCACTATTATCATGAAGCTAACCACGATCGGATCAGATGGTAGGGTCGAAGCCCTATTCATAACCAAACCTTGATCACGGAGGAAAAGCCATCCGATGAGTTTCCGGAGCGTATCCAGCACCCGATACGGAGATGGTGGATTGGACCAAGTCGGCCTCGACTGTTACAAGGAAGGGAGATATAGATGAATATACGCATCTCATATAGTCCCAGTGTCTAGGCCTCGACTGGCTGGGGCTGCAGGTTTTCTGAGGCTTTTATTATTTTTGGGTAGAAGGTTCCGTGGAAAAGGTGGACGAATTCCACGGGTAAGTGCTGAGCTGAATGGCTAATCATCATGGGTAATACATCAATGATCTTACAAGTAACAAAAGAGGATAGGAGCACTGTACAAGCTGTGGCCTGGACCAGATAGGAGCCCAATGTGCTAGATAGTCTATGACTCAAGTAGGACAATAAATTTACCTCTCTCTCTGTGTAGACAGAAAATTCACGTCCTCATTCAGTTTTCATCTGAGCAGGTACAGGTAGTCAGGACAGCGACTATCGGATTGTTCTTCGAGATAGGTGGGGTCGACTTTACAGCCAACGTGTGCACCCACAATCTAGCCTTGCCACTTCAAAGCAGTGTCTCCGTGCGTGTACCCAAATCTAAGCAGACCAGGAATCTTACGCGCTCTCTGATTCAAACGAATAGAGTTCTCTATTCTCCTCTAGTACCCATGCAGAATGTCTGGCAAAGACGTTTTACCGAACCTCTTGGGGTAATTCAAATGCTGTAATGGTTTCCAGTTGCATTGCCACTATGTTTCATATCTTCCGATATCTTTTCTGTGCCCATTACGGAGTTTCTATTTATGGCGTTGCACGTACCACGATTGACCAGAATAATAAAGTTTAGTGACTTAACTACGTGCTCGAAGTAGGGCTGTGGTATCTAATACGTGAATCTAGGGATATGGATTGCATCAAATCTAAATAAGAATTCCCTGAAAGTACAATCTAGGGAGAGTACGTTTACAGTGACCGTTCTCGAGTGTGCTGACAGGCTTCCTACCACCTAATAAAAGACAATGTAGAACACCAATGGAATTTGTGGATGATCCTAGTAATTCTAGCTTCTCATTGATTTGAAGATTTATCTCTAAGTGATGCGTCCCATCAATGCCGGTAATCTTGTATCGAAGGCTATTTGAACCGGTCACGTCGTTAGATTGGAAATAATGAGACTTCAAGCGGATCACTTAGATGGCACCTGCCGTTCGATGAAAATCGCGAGGCGTAACCGGAAAGAAGGTGAGGGTGGATTTATTAGTAGCCACACATCAATGTAGTCCTGCTACCTTACTAGCTAGTGGATAACAGCCTCTTATCAATCCTGTGCAAAAATAGGCCCAGTGAGCTTATCGAAACAAAATCCCTAAAAATCGATAGCAATTACGCCAGGAGTCTGACTCTTCTCCTCATGTCCATAATTAACCTAGACCCTTCTCGTCCAACCTTTTTACAATCCGCCTATCCTCATCATCTCTCTTTTCCAGATTGTCAGCAACAATTTCTTACTTTAAACAGTTTTATCTACACTCATCATGCTCTGTCATAGTCTATTGGAACCTGTGTACAATCAGCCTACTTGAGTCGTACATTCTGCAGGCCTAGTTATTTTTAGTAAGCCAACAATATCGTGTCGCATCTCGCTGTAGCCGGGCCACACGTCGTTCCCCTTCGGCCGTTGTATGCCTTAACTCTCCATCTTCAGTCATGGGGGTCGTGAAAATTATGGAAACACTTACAAAGAGAAAGACTGGCACCCAGGAACTCTTGGAACTTTTAAGGAATCCATATCAAGCTCAGGCAAGTCTAATTCCAAAATAGCCTATGAATAGGCCTGGCTAATGTACTGCAAAGATAGCACAAACTTCTGTCATTGCAAGCCTTGGAACGTCAATTGGATTTACTGCGCTCCTTGCCATCGGATTTTCCCTACTTCGTCCTTATAACTCAGTAGTTTACGCACCAAAGCTAAAACTAGCAGACGAGAATCAATCTCTCCCGCCCTTGGGTCGGGGTATTTATTCATGGGTTATACCCGTCTGGCATACTTCAGAAGATGATTTGGTCCATTTAATCGGTCTGGACGCTGTTGTGTTTCTTCGAACCCTAGCAATGTGCCGCAATATCTTTGTAACTATCGCAATTGTTGGTTGCGGCATTTTGATACCTATCAACCTAGTGAATGGCACCGACACAAAGGTCAAGTTCATAGTCAAAGTAACGCCTATAAACACTTTTGGGCAAGCAAATTGGGGAATGGCTATCAGTGCTTGGTTATTCAATGCAATTATAATCGGCTTCCTTTGGTGGAACTATCGAGCCGTGCTGAAACTTCGAAGACAGTACTATGATAGCCCCTCATATCACGCTAGTTTACATGCTCGAACTCTGATGGTTAGTACACTAGCCAAGCTAATTGTCGAGAGCTTGACTAATACTATTTCCAGCTTAACGATATACCGAAGGACTATCGTTCAGACGAGGGTATTAATCGCCTTATTGACGCTGTGGTGCCAACATCATCTTTCTCGCGGACAGCCATCGCAAGAAACGTCAAAGAACTCCCAGAGCTCATCGAAGATCATGAAGAAACTGTACGCGATCTCGAGAAGCACCTTGCTAAATACCTGAAAGATCCCAAAAATCGGCCTATACATCGTCCTCAATGTTACCCCTCTAAAAAAGATCCAGCTTGCGGTACTTACGGTAAGAACCAAAAGGTGGACGCCATTGAATATTTAACGTCCCGAATTAAAGATTTGGAAGTTGAGATTAGGGAGCTACGCCTGACAATCGATAATCGAAATCCCCTACCATACGGGTTCGCAAGCTATGATTCAATTGAAGAATGTCACGGCATCGCATTTGCTGCCAAAAAGAGACATCCACATGGAACATCCATTGTCTTAGCCCCAAGGCCTAATGACATTATATGGAAAAATATGCCGTTGAGCAAAGCGCAGAGGCGAACAAGAAGAATAATTAACAATATGTGGGTCACTCTCCTTACTATACTCTGGGCTGCGCCAAACGCCCTTATTTCAATTTTCTTTACTAGCCTTACCAATCTCGGACAAGTTTGGGAAGCCTTCAGAGACTCCCTCACCGCACACACCACTTGGTGGGCTATCGTTCAAGGTGTAGCTTCTCCGGCTATCACTTCTTTAGTCTACCTCGTTCTACCAATAATTTTTCGTCGACTCGCTATCAAAGCAGGAGATCGAACCAAAACTGCCCGGGAACGTCATGTGGCGGGAAAGTTGTACACATTTTTTGTTTTCAATTTTTTGATTGGATTCTCATTGTTCAGTACAATATGGAATTTTGTATCTACAATTATAAGCGCAACAAATTCAGGTAATGATGCCTGGAGAGCGATTTTGAATGCGGACATATTCATGGCAACCTTCATCTCCCTCTGCGAGGTATCTCCCTTCTGGATAACCTGGCTGTTACAACGTAACTTAGGAGCTGCTATTGATCTAATGCAGCTATGGAATTTGACCTGGAATACATGCTTACGAAAATTCTCACATCCAACTCCTCGCGAGATGATCGAGCTTACAGCCCCCCAAGACTTCGACTATGCATCATACTACAACTATTTCTTATTCTACAGTACTGTGGCTCTCTGTTTTGCTTTCATACAACCGTTGGTTCTTCCAGCCTGTGCTCTTTATTTTGTAGTTGATTATTTTCTCAAGAAGTACCTACTCCTTTATATTTTTGTCACAAAGATAGAGTCAGGTGGTATGTTCTGGCGTATGTTTTACAACCGGATGGTATTCGCTGTAATTCTCTCTAATTTGATAGCTTTTTTGGCTCTTTGGGTTCATGGGGATGGTGAGCATACCGAGGCATACACCATACTTCCACTCCCACTCTTAATGATTGGATTTAAGTTAATCTGCAAGAGCACATTTGACGATGAGATCCACTACTATATTTCTAGCGGTGTACTTCAGGATTCAGAGACGAGGCGTTCAAATTTCTTTGACGGCACCAAGGAAGATCGCTTAGCCACTCGTTTTGGCCATCCCGCCCTATATCGTCCGCTCATGACACCCATGGTACATGCAAAGGCGCAAAACATTCTAGCCTCAGTTTATGGCGGTCGTCTTACGGATAGTAATAATAATTCGGCCTCTATCGAAGCCTCATCTATCTCAGGATACTCAGATACTTATGTTATGAATAAAATTTCAAAAACCCATCCTGGCGGGAAAATGCCACTTCCAGGGTTTGAATTGGTTCCAGAAAATCGGCTCGACTTCGCTTACTATAAAGGGCGTCATGAATTTTCTGGTGATTATGGAAGAATGAGTGGGATTTACAGCAAGCCTGAGGACTTACAGCCTCCTTATACACCAAATGTATATGAGACAGAAACCCGGCCAAGCACGCCAACAATGCGGCGAAATTACATGACCCGCTCATCTATTGCTAGTTCAGATGGTAATATTATAATGGGCTCAGATGTTCATGCCCATTTGAATGAAAGGCAAGATGAACGAAGTGGTCTAGTCCATGGCGCCGCCACAAGCCCACTATCAGCCCCAAGAGGTCATTTAAAATCTCATAGTGCCAACCTGGAGCCTAAATCAGCTACCTCACTACGTGGTGGGTATGGAGGAGTACCACAAGAAGAAATACAAGATCCCATAGATTATGATTATTTTCGATGGCGGCGACAAAATCAACGATGATTATGCTCAATGGACTTGTGATACGTATAGCCTAAAATTATTCGCAGTCCTAAGTCATTTCCGGAGCTTCTAACATAAATCATGATCGAAACGCCGTAAGCAGATCTATGACGGTAAACATCTGATTGATATTTGATGCAACGCTTTGTCGTCAAATAAATTTGATACCCTTTGTTATATTTAATCTGTACATTATGCTCAGCCACTACATAACTTGCGCTATAAATACTCGCGCACCCATCAACTCACTAATTGTATAGAAGACTCCCCGCATATTATACCATAGGTCTCGAAATTAAACCTGCCTATCATCCTACGAAAACTATGATACTTCTAAGGATTGAGTGGTACATAAAATTACTCTTTTACCGACTAGAATCATATCTTTGCACGATATTAATATCTATGGATAGATTGTATTCCAAATTGTATGGTACAAATAAAATATGAGACTAATTTACGAGTTGTATCATATCATCAGGGACTATAAAAGACTCAGACATCTATCTAGCCGTCAATTTAGCGACTCAAGTGTATAAGAAGAAGAGTAAGTGGATCATAAATTAGAATCACAAGGTAGCAAAAAATAAGCGAGCTAGCACTGCTCAGATTCGACCTTAACAGATCTTAATCGAACCATCTCCGGGGTTACCGGTGGTGGATCAATATTTCCACGAATTAGGCTTAATTTTAAGATATCCTAGCCCTTATTAGCCGTGAATATAATGCTCAAAGTTATACCATGTAAGCAATGGACAACATATGGACAAAATGATTGAGGAGTTATCCTTAAATTACTTTTCTCACGTCACTATGAATGCCTATAGTTGGCTAGCAACTCCTTCACGAATCCAAATCACCAGTATAGCAGGCAGATTATAACGAGCATCCCAGGCAAACTGATTGGAAATAACTTTATACAGGGGAAAAGGTAAATATCCGATAGACAGATAATCTGAAGTGAAAATATTGAAACTAGAATCCTAGCTACTAGGATACGTCTGTGTCAAGGTAGATAAACTGTGTATCTACTGCCCTTGAATAAACCAGTATGTTCTATCAATCGCATGCCGTTAGAAATCACCTAAAAATTTGTTATGAATACTCAATCCAAATTCTACCCCTCTGTAAAATGCGACCACATCCAACTCAAAAGTGAGATTAAGGACTATTAATTCTTTTGCAAGCTAAACAGGCCATAGTATTTCTTAATGTCAAACTTCTGTTTGAAAATTTTAAGTATTTATAGAAGGAGATATCTCGAATAATCATACGAATAATGTAGATCAGGGCCTCAAATACTTGGTATAAAATATAATTCTATTCTCAAGACGAGTTATTAATGTGTAATTTTATGTGATGTTAATTAGAATCTTCAACTGTGCTTATCATAAAATATAAATATCCAAAGCTTCCATTAGCCTACTCTCAAAATAATCTAGCATGCGAACTATAGTAGTTTTGTAGAGAATAGTTATACAGCCCACGGGGTTGGATGGTGCAGTAGTGCACCACTTGGGCCGTTCTCCCAAGTAGATACTGGGTAGCTTGAACACCTACTCCATTCGAGACAGGAGAAAGCTGGTTCGAATCCAGTAAAACCCACACACCACTCTCTCTCGCGGTGATATCGTGCTTGTGGGATGATGAAAGCACACTCGGATAGCCACAGGTTTTCCAGGCTTTTCCCTGTGGTGGGTATGCACGAAAGAGGTTGTACGCCGTAAGGGTTAACCTCGAGTGGTATCTGCAAATGAAATCTGATTGTGAGTGTTCTTAATGCCAAATTGAGTCATCCTACTTAAATACGTATATTCCGATAAAATCTGCATGGGCCTCAAGGTGCCAAATCAGGAAAATGAATATTATATTTATTTCCAGCCCACGAAAGCAAGATGCTATTAACTCTAGTGTTGCGTAAAAAACATAAACTCTCCTCAACTGAATCAATAAATTTCAGCGAGATTCACATCTAGAGACCTAGATCTTCTGATATATATATATTATTTTACCTGATTTGGCGCCTTGAGGCCCATGCAGATTTTATCGGAATATACGTATTTAAGTAGGATGACTCAATTTGGCATTAAGAACACTCACAATCAGATTTCATTTGCAGATACCACTCGAGGTTAACCCTTACGGCGTACAACCTCTTCCGTGCATACCTACCACAGGGAAAAGCGTGGAAAACCTGTGGCTATCCGAGTGTGCTTTCATCATCCCACAAGCACGATATCACCGCGAGAGAGAGTGATGTGTGGGTTTTACTGGATTCGAACCAGCTTTTTCCTGTCTCGAATGGGGTAGGTGTTCAAGCTACCCAGTATCTACTTGGGAGAACGGCCCAAATGGTGCACCACTGCACCATCCAACCCGATGGGGGTAAATGTGTAGATCTATAAAGACTTTGTAGCCACTAAATTGTAGGACAAGTCTTCAACCAAATTATATCGGAATCAATCCTAGCCTTTCATAAAGTAATCTCATAAATCTATTTCCGTGTCTGTGATAACAGACAAATATACAAAGTCGACGATCAAGTTCAAAAGTCGATTAAATACACTGCACAGCTTGGGCCAATAACAAATATTCATACATGTTACGACAACATTACTTTATAGAACATGCATATATATTCTCGCAGTACCATAGACTACAGAGTAACCTGCATCGCTGAGATTATTGAAAAAATAATCAGTGAAACAATGCCATACGCTAAACCATCAAGGTTTTTTATTACATCAGATTTTAATCGCGTATGCAGCTATCTAGCTATGACACAATATCAAAGAAAAGTACAGAATAGATGATTCAACGTAAAGGAAGAGCACTCATGCCTCAGATTTCATTTGCAAGTACCACTGCGAAGTTATGGTGGCTTTTTCTTCACCCCAAGTCAACCCTCATCCGTGAATACCCACCCAGGGAAACGTCTCAAAACCCCTGAGTTATCCAGACATGCCTCCATCATCTTTCAACTTTTCTCCGCGCGATATGTGATCTGAGGTGTCTCCTTCCCAAGTGGAGTAGGTGCCCAGGCTACTCAGACTATACCGGAGAACACCACCAGGAGGCGGACCACAACACCTTCCATCTTTGGCTTGTGTTTACAGTGTCAGCTGCACTCTCGCAAGCGAAGTTTTGGCGCGCACAAAGCTCAATTCGTGAATCTCCTTGCCAAACTTCAGGATTTCACGCTCGTCGAGGTTATGTCCTTCCTTTGCATCATCTTATGACCTTGTCCTGAATCCTCTCACGTCCATCCCAAAAAACTGTCTCCCAGGTTTGTGCGTCACACCTTGCTTCCTCTGCTGGCTATAACTATCAGCGTGGGCGTGCCATCGAGGTTTGCTAAACTGTACTGGACCACTCAATACTCCGAGAAGGTATAAAAAACTCGAAAGGCAAGGAGAGAGTGGAAAAAAGTTGGCACCGAAGAAAGTTTGATGCAATATCAAAAGTCGACTAGTGGGAGAAAGGCACATATAAGAAGAGCCAAGACCATTGGCTGGAGGGCAGCGGTGCCAGAGGCCTCTAGGGGTCCGGAAAAAATCCGGAAACTTGCAAAGTGGGCAAGAATAGATCACAAAGTGTGACGGTCTTAAAGTGGCGTTTTATTCAAACTGAACTCAGAGCTAGATACAAATGAAAATCTTAAAGTAAAGAGCAGAGACATGACTGAAAGCCTCCTATTTATTTACAAGACTATGATATCGTTCCCTCATTTCATACCATTCTCAAAATAGATCATGACCTGTCCTCCGACAAACACCAGCATCTCCGTCTATTTTAATTCAGCTTCATTTTAATGTTAGCAATTTTAGGTATTAAAATAGTTATGATGCATGTGGCTTAGATGACTCACGGCTGATGTTCGAGTCGTCCTGTCTACAATCTAAATTTGTCATTTAAGAATAGATTTGCATGAACTGAGCCAAGGCCTCTACTTGGGTCTAATGAGTCATGGAGGGGTTCATGACATGTATGATGTTTAATATGATTGGAAGAGTTCAAGCCTTATTTGTTAGGCAGCAGCCTAATGATAACCAGGTATGAGCCTGTGACACAAAGACAGAGGTAACCCCAAATATTAGATGTCAAAGATACGGACGGATCTATTCAAACTGAAGCCCCAGAGATAGTACGAGTAATGGCTGAGCATTTTTTCCCAAACCTAAAGCAGCAAATATTTTAGAAATTACTGAAACTTGCTTTCCTGAAGTGATGGATGGTATTGTCACGGAATGTAGTCGTGATCTAATCGATCGAACGAAATATACAAAGTTTATTTTGATTTCCTAAAGTAATGATAACGCATGAATAACTACAATGCGGAATAAGAGCATCTTGAAAGGAAAGATATTTTTACAGGTGTACAACTAAGCGGACTCTAAGGCCAGCATTATACATGGGCCGCCCACAGTCAACGGCAGGAGTTTGTGCACTAGATCCTGTAACAGGTATTGCCTACACCAGTACTTGTGCCGAAGTAGAAGAAACTCTCGAAAAGCTACCGGGAGATAAAGCTCCAGGCCCAGACGGGATTCCCAACCGACTTCTCTAAAGGTGTAAAGCTACTCATAGTAAATTCCTTGCAGGATTATTCAATGTCTGTATCTCCATGGGGTATCATCCGAGGGGGTTCAAAGAATCGGTAGCAGTTGTCCTAAGAAAGCCACAGAAGCCGAGATATGACACACTGAAATCATATCGAACGATAGCACATCTAAATACATCGGGTAAGCTTCTTGAAAAACTAGTAGCCAACAGGATCTCAAAGGCTGCCGAAGACTTTAATCCAATTCTAGACAAACAGATGGGTGCTCGTCCCAATAGTTCTACTATTACGACTGACCTGAGGATAATGCGGGTCTCTCAGAAGAAGTTGTATTTGAACATTAGGCTACGATTCGTAGGTAGAAGAAAAGACAAAAAGAACGGAAGTGCTGGGAGCTACAAGCTTGAGGTAAGTTCGACCGCGGCTCCACCTTAGTCCG